GTACATTTATAAATTGTATTATATTACATTTTTTACACTAACTTATTTAAAAAAAGAATTTGAAGGTCCAAAGGTGCCTGTAAAAAAATATGCCGTTCGAGTCAGATATCGCATTTGATCCGCGTTATGGGCGCGTACTGGTGGCAGTATTCGACGCACGGAGGATATTAACGCGTAAATTGTACTTGTGCGAAGTGTAATATCTTCATAATGATGTAGAATACGTGCAATTAAAGGAATTACATCTGTTGATCAAGAATTGCTTCACGATTGTAAAATATATATTATTAGGTTGGGTTGTCTTTTTATAATTTTCCAAATTGTCTTTTATTTTGAAATGAATTTCTAATGTATTATAAACGGTAGTAAACGTAAAAGATGTAATGAAGTTATGCATTATGAAATCGAAACGGATATCAGTATTTGTCAGCGTATATTTTGTAAAAGTGACATAGTTTTAATTTGATTGAAACTAAAGTCAACGGGATTATAAAAATGATCAAATCTGCTACTGATGCAACCATACTGTAACCATGCGTGCTTAAACAGTTTTTTCTACCTAGGTGCGACAATTGATTATGAATTAAAGGACACATTTTGATAATTATGTCCCATGCCCGTATATTAATTTGTAAATCTAACGTAGGCAAAAGATTTAATATTTATTGCGCGAAATTTTTCCATGTTCTATAACCACATACATCAGAAGGTTGTATTAATCCAGTAGCGATTTTTTAATACTTAAAACTGTTAAAGTTTTATTTGGCGATATAATATTTTTTATCAAAATTTTAAAAAATTAAAAAATTATTAAAAAAATGATATTTTCAAAGTTACCCAACCTAATAATATATATTTTACAATCGTGAAGCAATTCTTGATCAACAGATGTAATTCCTTTAATTGCACGTATTCTACATCATTATGAAGATATTACACTTCGCACAAGTACAATTTACGCGTTAATATCCTCCGTGCGTCGAATACTGCCACCAGTACGCGCCCATAACGCGGATCAAATGCGATATCTGACTCGAACGGCATATTTTTATACAGGCACCTTTGGACCTTCAAATTCTTTTTTTAAATAAGTTCGTGTAAAAAATGTAATATAATACAATTT